TCCTGGTGCATCCCCCAGGCTTGTAGAGGAGTCAGGAAGGGCGCACAGAAGCTTTTCCGCTTGTTCATCTGACCCCAGAGAGCCAACGGGGCAACTCCACCTTGGGCATCAGCAACCTTTTTGCCTTTTTTTTTTCCTGGAAACTGTTAAAAAAATTCTTCAGAAGCCACATTGGACACAGGGGGTGGGGAGATGATCCGGGACACAGGATGGGGTCAAAGCTTTCCTGGGGATTTGGGGAGCTGTCAGGCAGCTCTGGCCAGAGAGTGCAGCACCTGTGGGATCTGCTGGGCTCTGGGCAAACTGTGCCACACAGAGCTGAGGAGTTTGAGCAGTGCGGGTGCAAACCGGGACTGTGAAAGGTAGAAAAGTTCACATTGGAGCAGCTTCCACCTCTGTGGGAAAGAGAGGTTGGTGGGAAGCCCCCAGCATGAAAACCCTCATGTTTAGGTGAGAGTGAGCCCTTCTGCCTGCCCCCACGCTCCTGGTATCTCACAGCAGTGCCTCAGCTGCTGGAACAGCCCAGGCTGACTGCCCCTTTTTGTTCCCATCACCCTGGCACAGCCACTGTGAGGCACAAGGAGACGAGTTTGGTACCACACTCACTCCATAGGCATCCTCAGCAGAGCACCAGGCTTGTCACCATTCAGGGACACAACCGTGGGACAATCCATCTGTCTGTCCTCACTGCTCACCCAAACCCCACTTCCAGCAGTAACATCGCCCCCAGCACCAAGTCCCAGCACATAACCTGCGCTCCACAGCTCAGCTCTCCTGCAGATTATCTCCTCACACCCCCAGGGCTGGGAGAAAGGCTGGCACGGAGCTGGGGAAGAAGCCCGGAGCCTGTCCACGCTCACACTGATCGCAGCCGAGCCCAGCAGCTGCAGGGTTAAGGCCGGCGGCTGGCGCTGGACGGCCGTCAAGGTGGTTGCTCCATCCCTGCGCGGGGCCGGGAGCGCGCACGGAGCCGCCCGCCACCATGAGCGCAGACAGAGGTAAGGCAGAGAGAGCCGGGCAGGGCGAGGGGAGCAGGGGGACAGCCAGCCCCCCCCCCCCGGGACTTTGCAATGCGGCTGCCGGTCAGTTTTTTCCTCTCTTTCTGTGGCTAAGAGGTCAGTTGGGGAGCTCCTGTGCCTTCTGAGGCACTGTAACGAATAGCTCTGGGTTCTCTGCTGATTTGGGGAGGAATTAGGCAAGGGAACAAGGAATGCTGCTGCTGGCCTTTCCTGGGAAAGGAAGAAGCTACTGCTGTGGCATAAGGACAAATCTCCAAGAGGGCACAGGGGACACGGGGCGCAGCAGTGCACACACGGGGGCTGGGACGAGCCGGCCCCTGGGCTGGAGGACACCAGTGGCTACCGTCTCCAGTGGGAAACCAGTGGCAATGAGCATCCTTGCCCTTCAATGCTGGGGGGTGACATGCTTCAGGCCATGGTGGCACAGCTGTGTGTCCCATGATGACCAAGATGGTCACCACGTGTTGTCCTCTGGGGACGCTGTTCCAAGCTCACCTCCCCATGCCCACTTACGGTCTTCCTTTCCTCTGTGCTCCGCAGCAGGCAGGGTCCCCCTCCTGCTTCCCTTGGTCCTGCTGTTGGCTGCTGCATCCCAGCCCCAGGATGGGGACGTCCCCAAGGAGCCCCAAGCCACAGAGCCCCTGCGCTGCCCCAGCCCCTGTGCCTGCAGCTTGGATGACTACAGCGAGGAGCTCAACGTCTTCTGCAGCGGCCGCAACCTGACGCAGCTCCCTGAGGACATCCCCACCAACGCCAAAGCCCTCTGGCTGGATGGCAACAACTTCACCCAGCTGCCAGCCGCAGCCTTCAGGAACCTCTCAGGGTTGGACTTCCTGGACCTGCAGAGCAGCCAGCTGGCCGCAGTGGAGCAGCACGCCTTCCATGGCCTGCGCAGCCTCTACCACCTCCACCTGGAGCGCAACCGCCTCAAGTACCTGGCACCCCATACCTTCCTGCACACCCAGAACCTCGTGTCCCTCAGCCTCAACAACAACTTCTTCAGCAAGGTGGAAGAAGGGCTGTTTGCGGGGCTCTCCAACCTGTGGTACCTGAACCTGGGCTGGAACTCGCTGGTGGTCCTGCCTGACAAGGTTTTCCATGACTTGCCCAACCTGAGGGAGCTGATCCTGGCTGGGAACAAGCTCCCCTACCTCCAGCACCAGCTCTTCTGTAGCCTTACAGAGCTGAAGGAGCTGGACCTCAGTGGGAATGCGCTCAAGGGCATCAAGATCAACATCTTTGTCAAGTTGCAGAAGCTGCAAAAGCTCTACTTGAACAACAACCAGATCAATGCCATCGCACCCCGCGCGTTCATGGGCATGAAGTCCCTCCGGTGGCTGGATCTCTCCCACAACCGCCTCACCTCACTGTATGAGGACACGTTTCTGGGTCTCCTGAGCCTGCACGTCCTACGCTTGTCCACCAACTCCATCACCAACCTGAGGCCCAGGACTTTCAAAGACCTCCAGTTCCTGGAGGAGCTGCAGCTGGGACACAACAGGATCTGGAGCTTGGCAGAAAGGACTTTCGATGGGTTGGGTCAACTGGAGGTCCTCAGCCTCAACAACAACCAGCTGCAGGACATCAAGGCTGGGGCCTTCCTCGGGCTGTACAACGTGGCGGTGATGCACTTGTCTGCCAACTGCATCAAGACTCTGCCAGAATACGTGTTTGAGGGAGTCACCAAGCTGCACAGCCTCCACCTGGAGCACAGCTGCCTGAGCAGGATCAGGGCCAACACGTTCTCCAGCCTCACCAGCCTGCGGCGGCTCTTCCTGCAGCACAACGCCATCTCCATCATCGAAGACCAAAGCTTCAGAGAGCTGCACGAGCTGCTGGAGCTCGACCTGAAGCACAACAGGCTGAGCCACCTCTCACCCCAGCTCTTTGTGGGTTTGAGCAACCTGGAATACCTCTTCCTCTCCTTCAACCAAATCCTGGACATCTCTCAGGACACCTTCAGCCCGCTCCGCAGGCTCTTCTGGCTCGACCTCTCCCATAACCAGCTGGCGACGTTGGACAACGCCGTCATCACGCAGCTTGCCAACCTGCGCTACCTCAGTCTGAGGAACAACTCCCTAGAGACCTTCTCGGTGGGATTCTTGTGCCCTTCCTTCACACTGGAGCAGCTCTGGCTTGGGGGGAACAACTGGCACTGCAACTGCTCGCTGAAGGGGCTGCGGGATTTCGCCCTGCGGCACCCCAGCGTGGTCCCACGCTTTGTCCAGTCCGTCGCCGAGGGGGATGACTCCCACGTCCCTGTTTACACCTACAACAACCTCACCTGCTTCCAGCCCCCCAGCCTCGTGGGCCTGGACCTCCGCGACACCAGTGAGGACAACTTTGCTCACTGCTGACACATGACTGCCACCTCCCTGTCCCCATCACTGTGGTCTGTCTAGCCTCGGCCACCTTTCCCCGTCTGGCACCGCGGGGGACAGCTTTATCCTCTTGGATGGGGACCTGGGGAAGGCAAGGGGGGACAGGAAGCATTGGCAGTATTTAACCACCAGCACAGGGACAGAACGAAGCATCTTCCTGCCACGAAGCGGGATGCTGGGTGGTTTCGCCCTGTGCCCACCTGTGGGCAGCTCCCAGCCTCTTCCAGGGCCCCAAACCTCACCCAGGGCCCCACCATCCCCATCCACCAGCAAGACCTCAAAAAAGCAATTACTAGAGCCCAGTGGTGGCACCTGGGGTCACCTCCACCCCAGCAGGTTTAAAGGGAAAAAAAAACAACCAGAAAACCCGAATTTGCTGTTGAGCCCTGCTGTAGGTTTGGGGAAGGGGACAGATACACGCTTTAATTGCTCCTTGCCACAGCCAATACAGGTTACAGAAAGCCACCCATGTCACTTACCTGATAATTCACAGCAGACAAATAAACCTTTGGAGCTATTGCAACCCATCTTGTAAGTATGTTTTTTCGAAACCACGTGCCACACCCAGCAGGGCTCCTTATCAGAGCTCCTCAGGGTTTGTGCACGACCCCATCCCAACATTTGGGTGCCCACGGGCTCCCCACATCCCCAGACACTAAAGGAACTCGCAGCGAACTTTCTGCAAAGTGAACGGCAACGAAGGAAAGGCTGGGACCAATCAGAGGGGTGCAGCGTCCCTCAGACCGTGCACACAGCCCTGCCCAGCTCTGATCCTGCACTGACCCCCCTCCACTCAGCGTTATCAGGGAGCAGGATTTGCACCGCAGGCTCTTCCTGCACACAGTCCCACAGGCCAGGAGAGCGCGTGGCTGCAGGAATGGCCCCACTCTCCAAATCCCAAATCAGTGAGCAAAGGTCAGATGAGATTTCCAGGAAAGCTGCAAGTGGGGAAGGCCTGGTCAGGTGTGAGTCCTAACGTGGGTGCAGTCCAAGCAGGGACAGATGCTTTTCCAGTCTCCTTCATAATGAAGGGCTTCCAACGAGGATACAGCTTGGTCAGCAGCAATCTGACGTTTCTCTTGACTCTCTAGAGCAGCACTGCAAGGCGGAGGTCCGATCACAGAGAGGGCACAGAGGCAGAAGGGGCTCATGCTATAGGAGAGATGGAAATAAAGTGCAAAGACACAATCTTTGGCAGCTTTCCCAGCTTAAACCACGCTTGCAAGAAGAAAGCAGGACCCAAGGGAGCACCAGCACCGCAGAGAAATCCAAACCTACAGAAGCTGCCAAGGGAAGGAGTCCCAAGGAGACAGCACAGCCAGAGGAAGCGAGCCAGGAACCGTCAGGGAGCTGGAGGAGCCCCATGTGTGCCAGGGGTGTGGAGAAGGGCTGTGGCAAAGGATGCAAAGGACTGCAGGGGCCAGTTTTCAACTAGACCAGGCAACAGCAGGATCTAGAAGCTGGAGAAGAGCCACAGCTGAGCCCCAGTAAGGAAACACGAGAGAAGCAGGAAACATCTAGATGTATCTGAAGTGCTGTTAATACCAAGACTCAGCTACGATGAGGCCCAAAGCCATGGAAAAAAACTCAACTCATAGACTTGCATTTTAAGAAAGATGTTTACTGTCTGGAACTGTAAAAAATATTCCTGAGTCACAGTAACCCCTCAGCAGATCAAAAAAGACATTGTTTCCAGTGGGGTCGGATGCAGACTTCAAATGGATGCTAGACTTGCTGAAGACACACGAAGCATATGCAGTGCCTCAGAGGCACAATGTACCAACAACTGGAGCTTTCAGAGCGAGCTGCCTTGGCTCAGGTCCACAGCACAGCATCCAGCTTGCCAGCTGCTGAACCAAGTAATGTATTGTATCATGCAAGGAGAGCAGCAGAAGGCAGCAACACATGGAGCTACAATGCAGATGATTCGTGCCATCTGAACTTGGCGAGGGAACATCCATCCCAACTGATGATGCTTGCCAGTGCAGCCGCATTCAGTCATCGTTAGCTGCACTGCAGAGCATGAGATGCTGTGGAAACAAGATAGAGCTCCACAAATATCTGTGCAATAGCTGGTCGCAGAGGAAGGCACTGCATGAGGGGGCTAAAAACAACTGTACCATGTGGGCAGAGTGCTGCCACATTTAGAAGGCAAGAACCAGGCTGTGCATCCTCCACGTGAGCAGAGACGCCCATGTAGAGTATCTTTGGATGTGGAGAGGTAGAGCAGCACTTCCCTTTTTGAGTTGCCAAAAGAGGCACTGATGCTGTGCTCCTTCCTCCCTCCATCATCCCCCAGTGTAACAGCTCCATAGATCAACAGCTTCTGCATCCTATTCCCCACCAGCCAAGGGCTGTCGGTGGTGCTGCCAGGCAAGAGTCCAGCCCAAATCACTCCTCAGGAGCTCTGCTGCAATGCGCCATCCAGGATCTGCTGGGTGATACGAGTCAAGGCAGGGAAGGCAGAGCTCTTGGGAAACTCTTGGATGAAGTCTCTGCCTTCCTCCAAGCTCTGGCTGAGTTGGGGGTCCAGAGGAACGGAGCCTGAGGGAGAGGAGGAAAGAGGAGCGTGATTGCTTGTTCATCACAAGGCAAAGGCTTTGACTGAGGATCGAAGAAAAACTCCTGCCAGAGGCATCTCCAGGGGCAGCAACAGGAAAAGGCAACCACCCCTGTCACCAGCCCTCCTTCTCACCTCTTTCTGGTTCTGAAATACCACCAGACCACAGTTCTTCATGAGACTCTCCTGCTCTGCTCCCAGCCCCATCCATAGGGCAGGTTCAACCCTCAGCCCCCCTTTTCTCAGGGAATTTCAGGAGTGCCGGGTGGCTTCAGGCTTGGTTGCTTGTCACCACAATGTTAGCAGCCAGAGGAGGCTCTGCTCATCACTGCCCCTGCTCTGGCAGCACTGGATGCCCACTGTGTACAGCGTGGACGGTATAGAAGCAACTTCACCTTGCTCCTGACTATCCTCAGGGCTCACAGGGACTAACAGCACAGCCCACCTGCCCTATTGACAGACTGTGCCCTCAAGCACTCCCACAGCACCACACAAGATGTCACCAAGGAGGGCTCTGCTCCAGAGTCCACTCACCTAAAAAAGGGACCCCAGCATGTTTGGCCAGCTCTTCGCCTCCCCCTTTGGAAAAGATGTTTGTGCACTCCTGAAGGAGGAAGAAAACAGCAGTGAGTCATGAACCACAGCAGAGAGATCTGAGCAACAGGGCAGGCATTGTCTGTGTACAGAAGTACCAGCTCCCATTCCACCTTCCTGCCACAAAGGACTGCCTTCTCCCAGCTCTATTTTGCCCCAGCCTTCTCCCAGCTCTATTTTGGGAAGAACCAGTGGCTTCTTCCAGAGTTCACTCAGCAGCTGGCAGCTTCTCATCTCCCAGGTTCACGGCACCCTTGTGGCATTTCACTGATCTTCCACCTGAGGCACAGCAGCGTTTGACACCCAGACATGAACAAGAACCCAAAATGGACCAACCAAAAGCTCACCGAGCAGTGAGGGCAAACAAAACCACTCATGTTCTCAACAATGCCAAGAACTCGCAAGCCTGTCTTCTTGCAGAACGTCAGCTCTCGCCTCACGTCTCCCACAGACACTGCCTGCAGGGAGAACAGGTAAGGTCAGAGGTGTCTGTCTGTCTGTCTAGATGTCTGTCCGGAGCAGGAATGCACAAATACATAAAACATGCAGGTGATGGGGATTAGGAGATGCTCTCTCGCTATTGCTGGCCATAGCTTCGACCAAGTCCTCCACTTAGAGGATCTGCACACAGAACCACATCCTGGAGGATGGGTGACAGCATCATCTGGGGTGCAAAGTTCCCCAATGACTGTGCCCCGAAAGCGTGCTGCAGCTCAGCACCAGCAGGCTGCCCTACCTGAGGGGTGGTGACTAGGATTGCTCCCAAAGGCTTGTAGGGCCGCAGGGCCTCCACTGTGGAGATGTGTTCATCAGAGGTGCCTGGAGGCGTATCCACGATGAGGAAATCCAGTTCTCCCCAGGCCACATCAGCAACAAATTGTTTTATTAAAGCTGCAAAAATAAAAGTTGTGCCATCTGAATGCCCTGAACCCAATTCAGGGAAGACAGCCCCGCAGAACAAGGCTCATGCCCCAAAGGATGACTTGCCCGTGGCAGGAGCCAAAATCACCTCCAATAGAGTTTGTAAGAACATTACTAACGCTGAAATACAACTGTACCGTTTTTCTTGGGTCCTCTCCACACCACAGCATCATCTGGCTTCTCCAGCAGAAAGCCAATGGACATCAGTGAGATGCTTTTCTCCTGATCCACAAAGACCGGCACCCAGCCGGCGTCACACTGGTGCACATCATTGTCCTGCACCTTGAACATGCGGGGTATGCTGGGGCCACACAGATCCACATCCAGGATCCCCACCTGCAGCGATGAAGCAGAGCCACTCAGATGGGCCTGAGCACAGTCACAGTACTCAGCTCTGCTTCCTCCCCAGAAAAGAGGAGGCAGCATTCTCCACTAGGCCAGGAACCAAAGCAGCAGGTTTGAAGCACAACCTGAAAGAGTTGCTTCAAGCTTAGACTGCTGTCCCAACCTCCTTCCCTCCAAGGAAACATCTCCTGGGTATCTACAAGCACTCTGGGGAAACTTTTATTCTGGGGACCCATCAGAACCTCAGAGGGATTGGCTCAACAGAGCCTTTATGAAGTCCTCCTAGATACCAGCCTGCCTCATGCCCCCTCCCCCCGGTGCCCTTTTGTGCCTGAACCACCGCTGTCCTTCAGCTTGCCCACAGAGGAACACGTGTCACCATACAAACCAACAAGTCATTTCTCAGCATCCTGGTTTCAAAAATAACAGCAAAAGAAGTTTTAGATAGCATCAGTCTCTTGGATAAAGGGGAAAGGAACTGCACTGTTAGCTGTGTTGGGCTCTTCTGGATCAAGAAAGCACAAACCATCGACAAGGGATCTTTATGTATACAGGTGGCATGGAGGACAAAGAGGATCATGCTGAGGTGATGGGGGGAAAGACCAGCTACAAATCAGCATCCCAGCCCTTCACTCACCTTCTTGCCCGAGTGCCGCAGCGACAGAGCCAGCTCTGTGCTGATGGTGCTCTTCCCCACACCGCCTTTCCCAGAGAGCACCAGCAGGATGTGCCGCACGCCACCCAGGTTGCTTCTCTCTGGGATAAGGGCAAGCAGGGACAAGCTTCAGGAAACAGCAGGACAAGGGGAAATGGTTTGAAGTTGAGGGAGGGAAGGTTTAGGTTGGATGTCAGGGAAAGTTCTTTACAGAGAGAGTGGTGAGGTGCTGGAACAGCTGCCCAGAGAGGCTGTGATGCCCCGTCCATCCCTGGAGGTGTTCAGGGCCAGGTTGGATGGGGCCCTGGGCAGCCTGGGCTGGTACGAAATGGGGAGGTTGGTGGCCCTGCGTGTGGCAGGGGGTTGGAGATTCATGATTCAACCCTTTCAACCCTGGCCATTCTGTGATTCTTCAGAGCCCCTTCTGAGAAGGGCAATGAAGAGGGGCAAAAAGGCACAGAGCGCTTTGGCTGCCTGAGGAGTAGAGGAAGAGCTCTGCGATGACCTCAGCTCTCGGGCAGCACAGTGATGGGTGCCCACGGGGCTCCGTCGTGACCGGTGCTGAGTGGGGCGGGCCGGGAGGCGGCGGTGGGCTCAGCCCGTGGCGCTTCCCCGCTCCGTGCCGCGCTGCTCTCTGGCCCGAGCCCCACTTCTCACCGCACCCGTCCGCCTGGATTTCCCCAAGGTCCTGGAGCAGCTCAGACCAAGGAATTGCAACCACCACTACCGGCCGGGCCCGCGTTCCCGGGCGCCCCGTCACCGGCGGCAGTTGAGTCACCGGCCCGCCCCGTACTGGACTTCGCCACGGAACCGGCATCGCACCGGCACCGCGGCGGCCATGGAGCCAGCTCCCAGCACGGCCGACCTCATCCGCGCCTCCACCGAAGGTAAGGGCACGAGGGAACCGGGAACGGGGCGGGACAGAGGGGAGACGTGGAGCGGGAAGAAGGACACGGGAAGGGTGGCACGGAACCCCGCAGGGCGGCGGCACCGAGAGCCCCGCGCCAGGCCCACGAGCACACAGCGCTGCCCACCGGGAACCGGGCCCAGCCGCCTCAGAGCCCAACTCGGCCCCGGCGCCTCCCAGGATCCGGAGTTGAAAGGCCGGAGCTGCGGGCGCACAGAGGACACGCACACAACCCAGAGCGCCGGACCGACCGCAACCCCGCGCCGCTCACCCGCCGCCACCTCCTCCATGCTGCTGCGCAGCGCAACGCTCTTCCGCCTTTCGCCGGCTAAGCCCCGCCCCCCTCCGACTGGCAGACTCCGCCTCCAATGGAGGGCCGCGCCCTGCCCAGAGGCCCGCCCCCACGGGCCTCGCGGCCAGTCACAGCCGCTCCCCTCCCACTAGCACCAGCCAATAGACTCTGTGCTTTCTCGCCCGCCTTAGCCACCCAATAGCGCTGCTCCCCTGAGATAGACAAGGGCACAGCCAATGGCGTCGAGCTCCCCGCGGGCACACCCCACCGCTTCTCCCTCAGCTTTGAGCGACGGGACTCTCAGCCAATTGCAAGGCAGATCCGAGCAGAAGTAGCCAATAAGGCGACTTGGAGGGCGGCGCTCTGAGCGGATTGTTTATGTCCCGGGAGGAGAAAGTAGGTCGGAACGCGGCGGCGGGGCCGGGCCGAGGTGGGCCCGGAGTGGGGCCGGTGAGCGCGACCGGGGCTGGGAGGGGGCCGAGCAAGGCCGGGGCACGCAGGACTGCGCTGCGGGGCTCTGAGCGTCGCAGCTCGGTCGTGCTTCAGCCGAGGGAGTGGAGGCCGTGAGGCAGCGCGGCCTTTGGTGCGGCCTTAGTGGGCCCGGAGCCTCTTTGGGACCCGCGCCGCGCCCGTCTGTGAGCTGCGGGCCTCGGGGAGAGCGGGGAGCTGCCCGAACCTGAAGCTCTGCTCTTCGGGAGCACCGACAGCTTTGTGCCGCCGGCCGGGCCCGGGCCTGGCCGCTGCTCCAGCGTCAGCACGGTGGAGAGGAGTTGTGCGGGTGTGGTGTGCGGCTGTGATGAGGGCTGAGGGTGGGGAGCGGGTCCGAGAGGCGGGAGGAGACCCAGCCGTGCGGGTGTTGGCCGTGAGGAGTTGATTTCTGTAAAGGAAGAATGAAAGGGAACATGGTGCCTCCCAACACAGAGCTGTGATGGGGCGGCTGGAGCTGGTTTGGCCTGTCGGGGTGGGAGGGAGGCTGTGGAAATCTGGTCTGCATAATATTTCTGTCTGGGGCATGCAGTTGCTGCCTGCTGTCCTCGAGGCAGATCAGGGCAGACCCGCTTTCCTGCCAGCACACAGGAAGTTGTCCGTTCCTCACTACGAATGCTGTTAGCAAACTGTTCTCCAAGTAGGCAGCTGCTCAGAGGTGAGCGAGCGGTGTTCCCAGCAGCAGACGTATGCAACTGAGGCAGCAGAGCAGTGCAGAGAAGCTGTCTTTGGTATTCAGACCTGGGGAACAAGAGGAAAGTTTGCAGAGGCTCGTAGTGGGGGAGGAACTCATCCTGCTGTCCTGCCCATCAGATCTGAGTTGTGCTGCTGTGGTGTTGGGCAGTGCGGTGCCCTGCGGAGGGCTGAGCCTGAGCAGCCTGAGGGGGGGAAGGGAGCCATACTGGCACGTGTAACCTCTTCTGCTCATCCCCACAGCCTACCTGTCCCGCGTTGCCATGGCACGACGCACACGGAGCAGCCGGGCCTGGCACTTTGTCCTGAGCGGGGTGCGGCGTGAGGCCGACAGCCGGGCGCTCGCTTTGGCCACAGGAGCACGAGGCTGGGGCTACGACTCCGATGGGCAGGTAGGCACATGGCTGGCTGTACCCAGAAGAGACTGATAGGAGGCTGTTGGATGAGATGGAAGCAGATGCTGCTTCCCCCAGGCTGTAATGTGGGGCTCATGGCATTTCTCCCCAAGGTAGGGCTAGCAAGGCTGCAGCCCTGTACCACAGCCCTGTGCCTTTATAGAACCACAGAGTCACTCAGGTTGGAAAAGCCCTCAAAGATCATCGAGTCCAACCGTGATCTAACAATACTACTCCAACTCTAACAGCTCTCCCCTAAATCATGTCCCTGAGCACCACATCCAAACAGATTTTAAACGCACCCAGGGATGGTGGCTCAACCCTGGGGAGCCCATTCCAGTGCTTAACAACCCTTTCTGTAAAAAAGTTTTTCCTGATATCCAACCTTAACTTATCCTGGCACAACTTGAGGCCATTTCCCTTCATCCTGTCACCAGTGAGAAGAGACCTGCCCCACTCTCTCTGTAAGCATCTTTCAGGTATTGGAAGAGAGCAGCAAGGTCTCCCCTCAGCCTCCTTTTCCTCAGGCTGAACACCCCCAGTTCCTTCAGTCTCTCCTTGTAGGACATATTCTCCAAGCCCTTCACAAGCCTTATTGCCCGTGGGCCAGAGAACTGCTCTGTACATCTAAAACACACAACGTGTTTGTAGTACATAATATTTTAAAAATATTCTTTTTAAGTATCAATCTAAAATATGCACTGAACTGAATCAGTTCTCCCATCTGGTTTGCTGTCTTTTGGTTGTCATGCAGCTGTTAGCTGCTGTTGGAGAGATTGTGGGCTGCTCCAGTCTGTGAAATTCCGGTCTAAAAGGGAATTAGAATCTTCTTGGCCATCCTTCACCCTAGTTTTAGTGCATGAGTTCTGTTTCCCACACACTGTGTGCAGCAGTGAGGACACAGAAGTGCTCCTGAAGCTTCAGAGCCAGGCTAAAATAATACAAGGTCTCTGCCCAAGCATGGTGCCCAAATCCAGACACTGCTCTCTCAGAAAATATCAGCAGAGCTTTGTATTTCCACAGCCAAATTTCTAGATAGTGGCAATTAAGAAAGGCCAATGAAAGATACAAAACAAGCTTTCTAATCTGCAGTGGGAGAAGGAGGTGGTGAGTGGCAGACAAGTAAACCTGAGTCATTTTAAGTCCCGCTGTCTGGTTACATGGCCACAGCTCTGTGAGTTTAAAGGACTTTATCTTTAAATACCGATGACAAAATCTGCCATAGCTGTTGCCACCTGCTATGGGGGCGAATAGTGAGCAGGTATGATCAGTGTGTGACCTCAGATCTGTGCTAAGTTACATGGGGTGAGAAGGCACCTCCTGTAACACGTGGGGTCAGACAGGGCTCTTCCTCTTACAGCATCCAGTGCAGGCACGCTTTGCTCTCTGGGTGTGGAGGAATAGAAAATGCAAGTTCTTGTGTGCATACATAAAAGTAAACAAAAGCCTTGAAATCTCTCACTAGGTTCCCTGCAGGCTCATGTGCAGTGCTGGCAAGAGGAACTGCAGTCTTACTGCTTAACTGCTACTCTTTTGTTCTGCCCTCTCCCCTTCCTGGCCTCCTTTTCCTCCTCCTCTCTTTGGAGCAGTGTTTTTCAGCAGTGTGTTCTTCCCTTGGGGAAGGCACAGGGCCCTGTGGGAATGTACAGGTTCTGTGTACAGCCATTTGCACGCATCTGCTCTTGTTTTGTGGTGCCTTGACTGGCATACCCAGCTGTCTGTAACCTGCATGCTGAAAGCCATCACTTTAGCACAAAGCTTACTTAAAAATGGGTGTTAAAGAGCTGCTTGGGCTGTCGTGCTACTTGCCCCCCTCCCCATCTCTTTGATGCCTAGAAGCTGTGAAGGCACAAAGGACACACTGGGTCCCAAGACAGGGCAGTTAGAGCTCAGCCCCTCTGCATGGCAGACCAGGCTGGGACACAGTGCAGCAGTGCTGCCACTGGCTCTGGCACGAGCCTGGGGATGTCCCCATGCAGCTCTGCAGAGCAACCTGACTGCTAGGAGAGCCCAGCTCTGCAACCTGGGGACGCTTGGCAGTAATGTTCCTCTGCTCTCTGCTGCAGCACAGCGACTCGGATTCGGAGCCGGAGTTTTCCACCCTCTCGCCCTCCATCCCGAGCGCCATCCCTGTGACTGGAGAGTCCTACTGCAACTGTGAGAACCAGAGTGAAGCTCCCTACTGCTCCAGCCTGCACGCCCTCCACCGTGTCAAGGACTGCCAGTGCGGCGAGGAAGATGAGTGTAAGGAAAGAACTCCTTCCAGAGGCCTTTGGGGTGTGAGGTGGGAGCAGTCCTGGCTTGGAGGCACAGCCTGCACCTCTGCATGGATTACTGCAGGGCCCTTATCTCTGTCCCAGTGCCTGATGCTCCTTTGTTTACATCTCAAGGCCACGTAGCCTTTAGGAAGATTATAAGCATGTGTCTTCTGTTGTGCTCCCAGGGCTGAGTGCTGAACTTGTTAATGCTTCAGGGTTCACCTCTGGAGACCTGAGTTCAAATCCAGTTGAGGCTGCTAGAAAAGTCAGCTGCTGTGGCCACAACCCTATTAATGCTGATCCCCAGTGCAGCTGGCAGGGCACTTGGGTGTGCAGCAGGTTTTCCTCAGAGTAGACAGGAAAGGCAGGTAAAGAGCGGGTCTGGGCTGACTGAGAAAGCCCCAGAGCACAGCAGAATTGTTGTAGCACTTGTGTTTTGACTTCAGTCCCTTGAATGGACAAGAAATGATTGTGTTTCCCTCAGAGAAAAGAAAAGGAGGTCTGAGGAGCCTTGTCAGAACTGACAGCAACAGGAAGGAGAGAGCACTGAACCATCCCCTGTGGGAAGAAGCAGAACAGTTCAAGCCTCAAATATGTCCACAGCTTAGGATTTAACCTGATTTAAAAAAAAAAAATAAATGAAGTCTTGATGGGCCTTTATAACAACTGTCCATCTGTGTTTCACTTGGGAATAGCTCCCTGAGGGCCTATGTCCACCCTTGTCTCCTGTGTCCTTCCTGACCAGATTTTGACTGGGTATGGGATGACCTGAATAAGTCGACGGCCACCCTGCTGACCTGTGACAACCGCAAGGTGAACTTCCACATGGAGTACAGCTGTGGCACCGCAGCCATCCGGGGCAACAAGGAGCTGGCAGATGGGCAGCATTTCTGGGAGATCAAGATGACCTCTCCAGTGTATGGCACAGATATGGTACGTAGAACCAGGTTGCTTCCAGGCACTTAGAAATGCCCTGTGTTCTCTGAACGGGATAGCAAACTTCCTTCTGTGTTTCACCTTGGCATCCTCACTTAGCAGTAAGAAAACTGAAGCTGGAAGGATAAGCGGTTTTAGGCCAACACCAAAGGAACTGTGACTAGAACCTGATTTTCCTGCTTCCCTGGAGTTCACCAGCAATAAACTTAACAAGGACTGTGGTCAGGCTGTGCTGGTGCTCGTCCTCAGCCTGGGGAAGCATCCAGGCAGGCTG